TTAAGCTGAAACATCTGTCGCAACTATTGTAACTATGGCCAGATACGAAAAATTTTTGGCAAATGGTTTTTATTTGAGACGATGCTAAAAAATGTTTAAGCAGTAATGCCACTTTTATGTTGCGATTCTGACCTCAACAAGAATCGGAGTATAATACAATATTCTCAATACCAATAGGGATGTGGTTTTTAAAATGTTTTATTAAGCAAGAACCTATTTCTTGTCCTCTCGAAGCCACACTTTCGTTCCATACATACATGTATCCTATTGAAATAAAGTAAAGTATCATTATTGCTCTATCTACCGGTCAAACATATGTATAGTGATATCAAAGAAATAACTATGGAAGATGGGGGTAAGAGACGTCCCCTATGGTGACAGTTAATTATTATCAATGGGTTGTAATCTTAAATTTTTTCGCTTACTAAACATATACAGTGGTCAAAAAAATTGTGATTTCCCACATAATTGCGAAAAAATCTTAGTTCTTGACAGTCTTTAACAGGGTTTGAAGGCGTATTTTTTATTTTTTAAATTTGAATGTAGTTTTTTTCTAAACATTTGTATCAAAGGAAAATATACCACATAGTTATAAAAACTATTTATACAGTGGATATTTATATAATATAGTTCCAAATTAAATTAATTTTAATCTAACCCTTGAAATATCTTAATTTCCTAACATTTATATCTTTTTCTAACTATATATTTTTCTTGTCAAAGACTTGAATTATGAATCGCATCTTATTTGGCAGTACTTTCAACACAACCTACTTTAAACTCACTCAAGCAATTTACTTATAACTTGATTTTAAAACGTAAAAAGGTAATAAAAATACATTGAAAGCTTTAATTTGTTATTTTTTGGTTGATTTAAAATTTTTACAAATGTCTTATCCACACGTGTATTAGTTGTATAGTTTACATGGAAAATATTGCTCATCCGCCATGTAAGAGTATGTGAGAATACCGCCATGTACGATATAGCGTATGAGTAACAATATTTCCTGCTTCTATTTCATACCAAAAATTATTGCATATATTAATTAATTAAAATAATTTGACCATTCAACAGTTGTTTATTTATCCATTGATTTTTTTAGCAAAAGAACATGCTTTAATAAAAATGGGGAAAATTAAAAAAAAAGTTTAATTTTTTTATGTTTTCCCTTGTTAAAATTTGATTTTTTTTTTAATAAAAATCTTGTTAAAATGACCTTATCTGGAAAAATGGTATATAGATCCATAATCTAGTAGGAAAAATAACTTTTTGCCACAAAAACCGATTAAATTACCCATATTGCGTAATATAACAATCGTTCATTCTTTAAGAAAAGCAATATAACTCAAAATTCCGAAACTTTATACAGGTGTTCCAAAGTTCAACGCGAATTTAAAGCCACTTGTAAGGTGACTTTTGTTACACTAAAATTAAACGGTCTAAAAAATGCATATATGCACATAATTTTTATAAAAATTCTGACTAAAAAGCTGAACATTTTCATGATAATTTACTGAATTTTTGTGTATTTTATGAATATGAAAATTTAATGAATTTCGGAACTTGATTTATATAATATAGATTTATTAAAAATAAAAGCGTTGTATTAAAAAAAGCTCTTACCTTTTTTTGGAATTTCGTCATATACGCACAGATTATACGTCCATAATTGTCTTTTGTAATATGCCACTGATGTCGTTAGTGCAGGCGTTTCCAATGTCTTTTGGAGATCGAAAGTCAAAACTATCGATTCGCCATTTTGTCTGCCATTTTCAACAAATTGCTTAAATTCTGTAGTTACGCTCTCCACAGCCTTGAAATGAACCTTTTGTTTTTCTTTTAGTTCTTCTGTAACTCTTTGTTCAACACTACTTTTCATGGAGCAATGTAAATTATCACACGTTTTACACGTATCCGAATGACGCCTTTTAAAACTTAAATTAAAGTTGTTGTTGAAAATATCACCAAAGACGTACTGCGAGACGACATGTTGATCCTTTAATTCACAGGAGCTCTTGTATTCGTTATATAACTTCGTTAAATTTAGATTTGGGTGTAAATATTTCTTCTGAGATATTTTACGTCCATAGTGTGACTCGTATTTTGGGAAAAAGTTGATA